AGGGATGGGGACTCAACCACTTCCCTTGGCAGCCCGTTCCAATGCTTAACCACTCTTTCAGTAAAGAAATTTTTCCTCATGTCCAATCTAAACCTCCCCGGGCACAACTTGAGGCCATTTCCTCTCATCCTATCGCTAGTTACTTGGGAGAAGAGACCGACACCCACCTCGCTACAACCTCCTTTCAGGTGGTTGTAGAGAGCGATGAGGTCTCCCCTCAGCCTCCTTTTCTCCAGGCTAAACAACCTCAGTTCCCTCAGCTGCTCCTCAGAAGACTTGTGCTCCAGACCCCTCACCAGCCTCGTTGCCCTTCTCTGGACACGCTCCAGCACCTCAATGTCCTTCTTGTAGTGAGGGGCCCAAAACTGAACACAGTGTTCGAGGTGCGGCCTCACCAGTGCCGAGTACAGGGGTGCGATCACTTCCCTACTCCTGCTGGCCACACTAGTTCTGATACAGGCCAGGATGCCATTGGCCTTCTTGGCCGCCTGGGCACACTGCCGGCTCATGTTCAGCCGGCTGTCAACGAGCACCCCCAGGTCCTTTTCCGCCAGGCAGCTTTCCAGCCACTCTTCCCCAAGCCTGTAGCGCTGCATGGGGTTGTTGTGGCCCAAGTGCAGGACCCGGCACTTGGCCTTGTTGAACCTCATACAATTGGCCTTGGCCCATCAATCCAGCCTGTCCAGGTCCCTCTGTCTCTGTGTGACAAGTGTGTCATAAAATCAGATCAAATTACATCTAAAAGCTGGTTAGCTCTGCCACCTTCACTACTCCTATTGAAAGGATGTGCTTTAGCCGGAAAATTAGAAATCTTTTCCTAATTCCTTGGTGCATTTGTTTGCAACCACCATCTGCTTTGGTGCAGCCCTGTCCCTCAGTTTAGTAAAATGGCGATAACATCACCTTAAGGTTTTTGCTTGTTCTCAAACTGTACCATAAATTTGTCATCACAGACTGAGGACAGAAATTTGTTGTGGGATTCAGGCTCCTTGGAAAATCCCAGACCCAGGGCTGGGTTATCTCACTTATTTGGGAAGAGAGTCACTGTCCCTTCATACCAAAGCCAAAGGAGAAAGGAAAAGGCAGACCCCTCCAGCAGGTTTTTTCAGTCTACCTAGGATCCTACCCCCCCTCTGGAAATACTTGCCTTTCCGTCCCCAAGCAAGGTACCTTGGCAAGGAGCCTGAAAGTGAGCAAGGTGAAGCTGTGAACCATCACTAGCATTCAGCAAAGATGCACTGAAATAGCTGTGAATGACACATTCATCATTAACTTATTAACATCATTGACTTATTACTTTCTTCCTTGTGATTTGACACAAATCCTCTTTTCCTCCCTTGCTTTCCTGTGTTGATCAGCAGAAATATCTAGTTAAATTGTGTTACATATTTATGTCTCATTTTTATAGAGTTTTAGAGCTGGTTTTGTGGTTTTTTGTTTGTTTTAGTTTTTCGCCTGTGTCCCAGGATTACAAGTTGCTACAAAAAAAAAATTTAAATGGGAGGTTTGCTTATTCCAAGGCTGGTATTCCCTTGTTAGGAGAACAAGTGAGCAGAAACAGTGCCACCAAGGTCCAGCCTCCTCCTGTAACACCACGTCAACTCATACAGGACATGTAGCACACGTCCATCCTACTTGTGAAAGCCTGTGCTGGGAAAAACGCAAATGGTGTTTGCAAAACACGGTGCGTAACATATGATTAGACCATTCCATGCAGCACTAAGAGGGCATTCACAGTGTTTAATTTTATTTAACTAAGGCCCCCTGCAGGCAGCGGAAAGTGCTAGCTTCCTCTGGAGAGTGGAAGTGCTAAGCTCCTGTTGGGATTTCCCCCTGCCCCAAGAGGAGCACAGAGAGATTACTCTTGTTTTAGTAGGATATCTTTCATAAATTTCTTCTCTGTAGCTCTTCTATGTCTAAATGATTAATTTTCTGAGGGCAATCAGCCTTTAAGAGGCATTGAGTAGTGAAGGGTGTCTGGACTAAGATCCTGAGAAACATCAGATACGTGAGCAAGTTCTGTTACTTTGATTAGGTGATTGTCAAAGAGTTCAGCACACTCCCTCCACCCCTTCCAAATTTCCCAAATCCCCCCATCCCTTCCAAATCCCATCACAAAGTAGCTTAATATATGGAGGTGCTTTCCTATGTAAAGTTGTATTTTGTAACCCAAAAACATGGTCAGACTTTGCGCTTCTAAAATCAACAGGTGTCCCAGCAGGATATATTCTTAGTTCTGGTTCAATTTTTTACCTAATCTTTTCTTCTTTTCTCCCCATCCTAACATGTGTCACAGCTTGGCTGTAGGAAAGCTGTGGCATGTTGGAGCTTTGAGTGCTCAGGAGCTGAATTTCAGTTGGTGCAAACCGGTGTTGTCCCAGTTCTTATGGACTTCCACAGAACGGATAAACATTTTTTTTAGGCAAAACCAATCTGGTTAACTATGCATCATGTAGTCATGCTTAACCATGGAAGTAAATACTTGTCAACAACTAGGCAACTAAGAATTTGTCACCTTGGGTGAGTGACAAGTTATTCTGGCTGATGCATCCTGTCTCTGTTAACGATGTATTAACTCTTTTGGTTTCTCTGCCTTTTGCCTTGTTGTTTTCATGTGCACAGAGGTTCATATACACCGTGCCAGAAATTGGATTGGGGCTTGTAGTTGCCAATTACGCAGCACTGTCCTAACATGCAAACAGAGAAAGCAAGCACTACCCTGTCCTACAGAGCCAATCTAGCCCATAGATCTACCACTTTTCCGCTATTTCTCAATTCTAACCAGGAAACATCAAATATCCCTCTACTGCTACTCCTATAAAATATGTAGAATGACCAATTACTGATTTGTGGGTCAGCCTCAATGTCCGGCTGGAAAGACATCAGGGCCAGCCCTGGAGTTGGGACATCTATTCTTTGTAAACAGAAGCGTGGTACCAATTGTTAGTGACGGCACTTGTGGTATCGCCTGTCACCTATGTGGTAGTAGGGTTTCCCTTGTAAACTCACCTAGGACCTCATTATTATTAAGTGACCACTTGAAATCTGTTTGAGGTAGACCCTGGGTAGATCCACTCACGTGGCAAAAATGCTGCTCACTGCAGTGTGCTGTTGTGCCATTCATGTTTCTGTTCATCATTTTTGGTAATGCAACACCATTTTTTTCTACTGGTATCGAAAAGAAAAATCTGACACTTTCCCAGAAATGCCTTCAGCTCAATACAACACTGGAAGTAAACTCTTCAAGGCTGTCACACTGATGTGTGCGTGTGTGGATGCAGCTCTTCTAAGGCTCTGTAGAAGAAAATTTGATATTTCTTCACACAGTTGAGTTCCTTAGAAGCCTTTTGATCTCTTCCTGCTGAGTCCTGAATGCAAGGAAGGCATTTGGGCAGAGGTCAGTGATGCCAACCAAGGTCCGTGGTGTTAATGTCTTAATAAAAATGGTTTGAGAAGCGTTGGATATAACCAATAAAATTATGCTATATTAATCTATAAAAGTGCCAGCCATGTAGGTTTTTTTCTTGTGTACTACAGCATGCATAATCTAAAATAAAAGGAATGGAAAACCAACTCTCCCAGGTGTAATAGAAGACTTTTAATAGGTTTCCAAGTGTTAAGCTGAAGTTTGTTTATTCCATGTTTCTGCTGGTTTGAGGTTTCTTTGTTCTTTTGTTTTGTTTTGAAGTTGAGTTATCAGAAATACATAATTACATTAACAGACTTGCGACACTGTTTCACTTAAAAGTGGCAAAATCTGAACACAACCACCTTCCACAGTTTATCTGCAAACCCTCATTTCTTTACCCATCACAAAAGTGACTAGACTAATTAATGTTCTTTCCTTCAAAACCAAAAGAATAAATTACATCTTCCGTGGCATGTCTTAATCCAACTCCTAATACCATCAGTTGAAGAATTTCCATTAATTTTATTAAGGATTAGAGAAATCCCTGGAACGTTATTCTCAAATTTCTACCTGTAGTTGAATTCCTCCTGACCATTTTCATATACTCCGTGGTGTAATATCTGCTTGGAAACACACAGAAGCAGACCAAGTGCACATACTCTTCCATTGTGGCCAGAAATTATTGGCTGTACATCTCAGGGGACAAGTTGGTCAAGATTTCCAAGTGCTGGGAACACAAACCCTTATTTTCAGGATTTATACCATAGGTGTCTTGCTTTCTAAGCACAGCTCTAGAGTCAAAGTTAATACTTGTCTTTGATGGAAGCAGGGAGCTCCCAGCTGCAATGTGTAGCTGATAATCTCTCTTTTCTAGTCTCATTTTGATTCCTCATGGTTACTGCAGCTTCCCCCAACGTCAGACCTAGCAATCTAGGGTAAGATTCTTCTCCCTTAATTTTAGGTACCGGCAATGTGCCTCAGTCTGAGCCATGTGTACAGACCTCCCTTGCAGCTTGGAAATGTGATCCAGGAGTTTAGGTTGTGATTCGTCTAATCTGCTCAGCAGCAGGCAGCTGCTGTAGAGTGGGATGAATTGCACACTGTGGACTTGCTCTCTCTTGACTGCGATAGTGTCCGAGGTCACTTGCTCAAGTACAGACACCTGGGGATGGTCAATAACCCACATGTACTCAGATGAATCTTATCCCTGAGCCCTAATAATGAGATAATTTCAGATACAATCTGCCATGTCCCGTCTGTAATTTAACTGTAATCTAGTAAATTTACCAGTCTTGAGCTGCTTTCCTTTGAATTCCATATCAGTCTTCCCACTGGTTTCAGTGGGAATGGGATGAGCTGCTAACCTCCATCCTGTCTGGGGACACATGGAGAGCTGTCAGTCATGCTGCCTCTGATTGATGGCTTAGGTGTTCATCAAAATGGGTGGCGTTCCTATTTCCCTGTAGTAACTTGCAAACAAGAGGCTGCTCATCTCTTTATGCCCATGAATAAATTGCTGAATTGCTGTTGGTATGAAGTCTTTGGTTTAGGTTTGTACCCTGTAATTATCTTCTATTATCTTGATTTGCAGATAGTATTGAAGCCAACATTGAGACTGCATCTTCTAATGTAGAATCAGCCAATGAGCAGTTGGCAAAAGCCAGTCAGCACCAAGTAAGTGGGCCTAAAAAACCCTACGGATACATTCAGTAATAGTATTTAAAATAAAGAGAACACTTGGCGGCTGTGAACCACATGGCACATGGGCTGCGTTGGATTTGTGCTACCTGGAAAGATGATAAAGCATACTCTGAGTAAGAGCTAAACTTTTTTCTTATATATATGATTAAATTACTGTAGCATCAACACTTTGCATTAGAGTAGTCATTAAGAGATCTGCATATTAAAGAGACATTTCCCAGTAGGAAACTCAACAATTAGCTACTGTTGTTCTTGGAAAGACGTCATAAAAAGTGCATCATTTAAGTGTATATGTGCTTCTTATTAGAGTGTTTCCCTATAATCAGGCAACAGTGCTTTTCAAAAACAACTGAGTTGTCAAAAGACATGATGTGGTTGGTGAATAATGGCTATGGGAATGGTGTTCAGCACATTTTAAAGGCAATTTGAGGGTAGGGTTTTTTTGTTTTTTTTTTCTTTTTCTTCACTGGAGCAAGAATAAAACACACACACACAAAAACATTAATCTTTTTGAAAATAGCTTGACCGGAAAGAACTCTTTGATGGTTATAGTTAGTACTTTCTAGGGATGAAGGGGGGTGGGGTGGGGGGGCGAACAAAGAAAAAAATGTTATTGTTTGCATTGGATTGACAGAACAAAAGCTGTTAGTTTCCTTTTTTCCTCAATCATAAATTGGTTCGTTGAAGTCCAAAGTGAGTTTCATGTAGCTGGAGTCTTGTTATGACAAAATGTAGCTGAGGTCCATGCGAGTACATAGTGCCTTCTTGTCAGTCCTTGGACATAATGAATTCTGAAGTTCTGGGGCAAACCTCCAGACCAAAGGAGTAAAAGCCACAGGCATTTTACTCCACTGAAAAGGAGTAATGTGATTTTAAAATTATCTACAGCTCATTTTCTGGTGAAACATACTTTGCCAATTGTGGGTAATAAGAACAACTTTTGTAGAACTTTGATATTGCAGAAACTAAGTGTGGTCTTCAGCTACGTTTTGGTTTTAAAGGCATATATATTCAGGATAATGTGTGTCACCCTGCATGTAATCCTGCATTTGCTTTGAAAATAGCCTGTTGCATTTTTACTGCATGAAGTCTAAAATGAGACTAGAATAAATTTAATACTTGGCAGTAGAGCCGATCGCAAAGCTGCAAATGAGTTAATGACAATTTTGGCTAAGAAGGTCAAAGAGTAGTCAGGCAGAAAATGAATGCAGCACAGTGTAAAGGATCTGCTTTCTTTAGCCAGCGGGAGCTGCTGAAATAGCCTGCCCGGTTAAGAGGTCCTTTATTCCTCAAATATGTTGATCAAGATGAAGATATAGCCAGTTTTAGCGAGTCAACCACTCCTAAGGACATAAATGTGTACGGTCTAATATTTATGAGAAAACACTTCAGTGTCCCTTGCCCTTGAAACAAGCCTGTATAGACAAATATCACTTAGAAAAATTCTGCTGCCAAAGAAAATGTGCAATCCAGATCTCATGTAGAGGACAGGTACCTATCCTGTACACTACTGGATGAGGATCACTAGACAAGCGTGTGCAACCCCAGCTTGCTCTCTGTCACCTCTTTCATGAAGTTCCCTGAGGTATGGACAGAAAATGAGGTGAAATTTTTGCGACTTCGATTGCTGGCCTGCTGTCTGGGGTTTGTCAAATGGCACGTGACACCTCCCCTGTTATGTGCTGTGATATCTGCTCATCTTACATCCAGAAAGACATTGTTTCCATAACGTGACAAGAAGGGTCCTGGTCACACAGCCCTCAAGGCCTTTTGTAGGAAGCAATGTTGGTGCCACTTGCGCACATATGGATAATGCAGTGCGAGTATAGGTCATCCTTCCAGGTTGCATGTGTGGTTTTGGCTGCTTTAGAAATATCTAGGATGGATTTGGGAGAATGATCAGCCAGATGGCTTTGTGGGTGAACTGCTTTCAAGGGAGCTGCCATAGTTTTACACACTTAAAATTCCCTCTGTACTCTTCTGTGCTGCTCAGTGATCAAAAGCACAGTTTTTTTAAACCTGAGTAGTTTTCCTTCTTTTGTTAAACTGCCAATTCATTAATGTATTGGCTGTTACCTACGACCTCTAGTACAGTGTGATTGTCCTGTAAATGCAGATTGGCTTACATACATTTGTTATTTATTCCTATTTATGTTTATATATGTATATAAATATGTGTGTGTGTATGTAGTATTTTTATGAGTATATCGAGAAATGTATACATAAATTGAGAAATCAGAAATGTCAACATCGCTGAAACATTCAAGCTTAAGACCTACTGTAGACCTCAATGAACAGATTTCTGCCAGGAATAAAGATTAAATGACTGGTTATTTAACATAATGTTTGCATATAATGCAAGGCAGTCACTTCAACAATACAACTTGGAGCACCAGTCCCAACCTGTACATTAACATAACAAAACATCAATAAATAGGTTTTCTTTAACTGGTACAAAATAAGGCATTTAGGTTCCCTGAAATGATAGAAATGTTTAAACAAATGTAAATATCTTCCTACTGAGCTCCTTTGTCTGCATTTTAAATTTTGTAAGGTGCTCCTTCATCTTGAGATGTGCGTGCTAACAGTAGTGTTTTATTACTTTGTGTGAATTCTCATGTCCCCCATCTAAACTCTTTACCCACTCACAAAAAAACCCCAACGACTCCCCCCCCAAACCATAAAACAATAATAAAGAACATACGAGGGAAATACATGGTAAGTAAGGTAGTGGTGGCCAACTTTCAGGCTGGACAAGGCTGTGGGGTGGCTCAGTGCAGCCCACAGCCAGCCCCTGCTCTCAGCCCAGGGAAGGGAGCAGTTGGTGGCTGTGCAAATGTTCTGCTTCCCTCCTCTCTGTTCCCTGCCATCTCCTACCCCACGGGCCTGCACATCTTCCCCCTTTTCAGTGGACGCGTACATGCAGGCTGCATCATGAGGTAGGTGTAACTCTTCGCTGGTCACCATACAGAGGTGAGATACCAAACTGCAACCCTTGTGTGTCTCCTGAGGAAGCTTGTCTCAACAAAGGGTTGGGCACTGTTGTTATAGGAGGCAGGATCAGACAACTCAGGAAAGTAGATGGTCTCAATTTATCATTACGCTCTTGACCTTAGATGCCACAGGAGGTCCCTGAGTCCACACTGGGTACCGTAATTGGCAGCTACATTATTGCCTGTAGTCCCTCTTGTCAGCTGTAGACTTCACCCCCTGACAGTAACGCTTCCCTGCTTTGCCAAGTAAATTCACTAAGGCCTCTGCGGCGGTCAGATATTACAGAGACTCTATGGACCATATAGAAAAATAGCAATACCCGTTATGCCTATCCATGATGTAGAAAAAGTTTATCTTATGTTATATTCACTTTATTTCCATAAAATTTTCCGTGCCATTGTAAATCATTGTATGTGTTCTGATTTCAGCACTGCTTGATTTATATTGGGTGAGAGGTACTTGCTATATCTGTGCTGCAATAGAGAATGTGGTAGATGAACTTGTAATTAATCATGAGCAAAAAAGATATTACATTCCAGAGGCATAAAAGGTTTAGTGGGAGCTGTCAGAGCTTTGGAAGAAATACTTTTTTTTTTATTTATTAGCAGATTTTTTTCCCCTCATTTTAAATTATTATCATTACAGAATAATTGTTTGTGCTTAAACTTATTTTTACTACAGGTAACAGTTAAGCTGGGCCACTGCATTATCTGTAGGAACATACAGGGTCAAAATGCAGATGAAAGCATAAATGTTGGATGTTGATACCAGGAGTAGAGGAACAGAGGCCTGTTTCCATATGAAACCCCTCTTGGTCACAGAAACTTGATAATTTTACTTTGTTGTCCTACTTTTCACGAGAAAATTCAAGTTTAAAAAACAACTGAGAGGCAAACAAATCTGGCAGAGAGAAGCCAGAAGTAATCTCCTGCAGTAAACTTGCTTCAGTGCCTTTCTTTTCTGTGAGGGTCTCCTATCTCTTGGACCTAAAGCAGAACTGACAACCCTTGCCATTTAATACCAATGGCCCAGATTTGTCTCCTGAAATGTCACTGTCCATGCCCCTAGAGAAAATGATTTATCCCACATACCTTTTAACATGGGTCAAATTGCTCTCTGGAAGATAGGGATTTATTGGACCAAATATGAGTGTGTTTGGTGGAGACACGTATGTCTGAGTTAAGTGTCTGGACTCCTTTTATACCAACCAGGAGGAGGAATTGCTTCCAGCACACATCTTGTCTCATCTCACAGGAGATGTCTGACATAGGTCTGTTGACTGCCCCTCTGGAGACGCCTGTTCTCTCCTTTGTCTATAAAGTCCGGATGATAGCAATTGCATCGCAAACATTTCAAGGGAAAATGAATCCCATGCCTATCACCTATCCCTTTTTTGGAAAAAAGGGGAGATCTAAACACCTGATGATCTCAGTAGCCACCTTAGAGATTAGCTTAGGTGAGCTGAACATCTCACAGAGGGGCTGGCTGTGACGAGATGAGCAGTTTTACTTTGCTCAGTTTGTTCATGGCTTCCTGCAGGTGGATTGAGAGGAAGAAAAAGAAACAAACGCAGACTCCACGGATACATATTAAACCAGTTACTCTTTTTGACGCGAAGTTTGGCCTAAGTTCAGCTTGGCCGCACTGACTGAAGGACTCTGTGTGCTGACTGTTGAAGCTAATTTGTTTTGGAAGAGCTGCTTGTGTTACTCTGATTAATGCTGGTTGCTTTCCTTCCCTATATCCTCCGTGGAAGTCAAGCTAATTTGGATTCACTGGCATCGCAAAGGCAAGCAACAGTTCAGTGACCCACTTGTGTAGTCTAAGAACAATGAGGTTTTTTTCCTGTAAAGAAGCAATTCCTGGGTCTGGCTTTCAGGGATACACAGAGGGGCGCTTTGAAGGCTGGAGCTTTAAGGAAAAAAGTTTCATAAATCTGTGACATTTCCAGAGAGATCTTATTGCCTGGGGACCACCAATAAAGGGCTGGCTTCAACATTTGCACAAATAACTCATTAGTATTTTAAAAAAGAAAGAAAATTTGAGTTTC